TAAAAAGTGTCCGTTAAATGAATTGATGATAAATTTATAGCATATTTAAACAAATTATTATAAAATAGTTTGCATCTAGAATATGTATTATATTATTATATTCTCACCATAATTAAACCTAATTGTTGATAAATTTAAACTTAAGTTAACTCTTGAACAATTCTTAGCACATATTTCTAAACACTTAAAATATCATTTGTATATCTTAATTTTAAAAAATTATATAAATATAGTATTAATTTACAAAATATTTATCAAATGGACAATTGAAACCAAATGTGACTAAATTAATGACAATTCTTTATACTGTAATATATTTTATTATATTGTTGGTAACAATTTGTTGAAGTAGATATAGTGGTGACATATAGTATCCCTTCAAATAACTCAACACAACTATGTTACAGTTATATAAAACTAAATCATATAATCATACTTATGTATATAAATAAACTAATAATAAATTATAATTATACCATCCCATTAAAATACCAGTTAATAACACTATAACCGTAAGATGACCCTACAATGTAGGCCTACATTGGTCAATTGAATTAATGATAAGGTAGACCCTAGTAATCTAATATAGTTCTCAACCATTTTAAATACATTTCTTGAAACTATTGCTTTTTAACAAATTAATCAATTATTGAGTTAGGAACAAAATCAACTCACTGAAAGTGATGATCAAATCAATGACCATGCTCACGTTTAAACAATTGGAACATTAATATAGTATTATCATAATAATTTAACAAAGTTTTCTTACAGTAACCATAAATAAGATATTTACAGTATATTGAAAAGTGTATAATGAGAGGTGAGTCCTCACATGGAAAGGGATGTAACCGTAAGTTTATATTGATTAGTAATCAAGTGATAGTAATTGTGGTCATATAATGAACATAATTATGATTCAATTCAGATAAACACACTTTGATAGTCTAAAAGTATTAAATATTAAATTTATGCGATATTTGTGTGCACTTTAAATCATCACGTGGTTTACATGCATACCATTTACATGTCTACAGCTTACAGCCTTATAATTCAATGTTGTTTACACCGTTGTATAGTTCCTTCTAACAGTGGGTAAACTTCACTGTAATGATTGTAATAATAGTCTTACAGTACATAAAGGTGAAGTAGATGTGAATGCATTGCAGTGAAGTTCAATGTGAGTAAAGTGGTAGATATGAGTGGAAAGCAATGACACATTGTCGCTGTACTGTAATAGTATTTATGTTTTGACCGATTGTTATGCAATTAAATGATGAATTGATGGCAAATATATTGAATGCAAACTAATTTAAAACTAATATAAGTGTGGATTGAGTGCAGAGACGATGTCTTTCTCTAAGATCTTCGCCAATAAAAGCATTTATTGTCTCAGAAGTCAACACAACTTGAAATTGATTTCCAATTACAAGAGTTTTTCAATAAGTTTTCAATGTTTTCATTCACTAAATAGGATTCAACCAAAAACCGTAAGTTTTTTTTGAATGGATTCAATGAAATGTCAATTAATATGAGTTACTCCTCGGAAGCCATTCATTGGACATAAGTTGACACTTAAGACATATGGCAGTCATCGGTGTTTGAGTGGCATATCGCCGGACACTACCATTCAATTGACGCCTCAAGTGACTGTTACTCCCGACACGGAAAATGTGATCGACTTATCCGCCGGCGCTCTCGACGCCAGTACTTTAGCCGAGACTATCGTCAACACGAGTGACCTCCCGGTGACGGCACTCAACT